CCTTTTTAATTATAAAAAGCTTTTTTTCCTATATTAAGTAATTTTTTTTAATATTATTAAATTTATAATTATTATAAATAATAAAATACTAACGTCCCTAGTTATCCTGCTAGCTAAAAACTATGCTAATTACTTACTTTAAGATATTTATTTTAATTTTAAAGGATTTATATAGCTTTATAATTTTAAGCACTAAAGTATTAGTTAATACCTTTTTTAAAATAATAAATATAAGTTTATATTAAATATTTTATTATATTATATAATACTTTTTTTTTACTTAATAATATTTTTTTAAGAAGTTTATATAGCAGTATAGTAATTTTAGTAAAATTTTTAATATATTTTTAATAATACATGGCAAGGCCCAGGAATTACCAGACTTTATAAATATTTTAAAATCTTAGCTAATTTTAAATAATATTTAACTTTACTAGCATGGGTTAAGCGTATTCATGCCTAATAATATAGCTATAAAACTTTAATTTTTTTATAGTAAAAATATACTTAAAGCCTTTAATAAATAACTTATTATTTTAAAGGGCTATTATAATTTAGTAAAGGTATTTTTTATACTTTTTAATAAAGTTAAAAAAAATAAAAATATTATTAAGGTATATAATACAAGTTTTTTTATATAAGGGGTAAAAACTTGGTTTATTAATATTTAAAAGGTAGCTAGGGTATTATTTAGCCTAAATAGTATTATTAAAAATTTATATTTTTTAAAAATAGTATTAAAGGCTGTTTTTTAAACTAATACCTTGCCTATTTACACCTGCTAATATTTTAAAAAAAGGTTAATTTTAAAAAGATATTAGGTAGGTTTTATAAAATTAATAAAATTTCTAATACAGGGAAGTGGATAGCCATTCTTAATAATTTTTTAATTTAATAATTAGTAATTAATATATATACGCTATTTACCACCAGGCTTTAAAATAAAAATAACTAAAAATCCCCAAGGGCTAATAAAAACATAAATAATATTTTTTTAAAAGCTTGGTAAGTTACTTTTTCAGCTTTTTAAGCTTATCCTAGAAAAGTAAATAAAAGGGTTAGTTAATAAAAGGAGAATTACCTATATTAATATTATAAATTATATTTTATTTTAAAAAAAAAGTTAGCAGGAGTTTTTTTTTAAACTAATTTATAAATTTTTAAGTAATTTTTTTAGCTAATTTAAATATTTTAAATCCCTTTTCCGTGCCCTTATCCTAGTTAAAATTAAAATAAATAATAATAAAAAAGGCCTGTTAAATTTGCTTTTATAGCAGGCGCTTAACTTGCTTTACTAATATAATTTTTAAAAAAGTTTAGATACTATTAATATTAGGTTAAGTTTAAATAAGCTTAATAATAAAAAGGTGTTTTTTATTAATAGCGGGGAGATATATCTTATTAATACTAAAATTTACCCTTAAAAGATATTTATAAAGCTAGTTCTTTTTTAGGATAATATTATATTTTAAAATATTTATTTTTTATAAATAATAAATATACTTTTAATTACTAAGCGCGAGTGGTACTTAAAAGCTTTTATATATTTTTATTTATTATTTATTAACTATAGTAACTTTAAGTTTATTAAGCAAGCCCTTTACTTTATATAATTATAATAAGTATAAATATTTTTTATTAATAAAAAATTATCCTGCGCCTATATTCATAAGAACTTAAAAATATTTAGTACTAGTAAGGTTAATACTAATACTTACCTAGTATTATAAAATATTTTTATTAATAATATATAGCTTAATTTTAATAACTTAAAAAGTAAATAATATTATACAAGGCTTAGGGTTCTTCTATTTTAAATTTTTAAAAAAATTTTTAAAAAGGTTAATAATAATAAAAAAAATATATTTAAAAGCTTTTATTATTTTAGCTATTAATACTTTTAAATTTAGCAGCTAGTCCTGTTTCCTAAATAAGGTAGCTTAAAATAATTAGGGTAAAAATACTTATTATTATTATAGTTAAAATAAAGGCAGTTATAAGTATATTATTCTTTTAGTTAATATTATTAAAATTTAAATTAGTATTAAGTGCAGGGGCAAACTAAAGGTTTTATACTTTTTTTTTTAATTACCTTAACTAATAAGTTAATAATTTTAATTATAACCTTTTAATATAGGATTTTTAACTAGGGCTTTAATTAAAGTAATTTTAATAATACTTAAGTTTATAATATTTAGGTCACGGCGGCTAGATTTTTTATTAAAGCTAAAATTATATAAAAAAATAATTATTAAAGCCTTTTTAAGTAAATTCTTTTATATAAAGGCTTTGCTTATATAAGGTAAAATATTTAATTACTATTTTAAAAATAATAAAGTAATTATAATTATAAGCTTATTTAACCTAAAGTTTAGGTTTAGCTTTATTAATAAAGTTTATAATTTAAACCTTTATAAAAATAAGGTATTTAAGCAGGCTAATAGTAACTTAAAAATAATTATTATAGTTTTATACTTTAATACTATTTTAGGCCATGTTTTAGTAGTAAAAATAGTATTTTTAAGTACTAAAATACTTTTTAAAGTTTTAATAAACTTAATTCTTAAGTTACTTAAAATTAAAAATTTATTTAGGTATGGTTTCTTAATTTTTTTAAAACTAGTAAGCATTCCAGCACTTTTTAGCCTAGCTAGTAAAAAAGTTAGTAATAATTAGGACTTTTTTATACTTATTAAAGTCTTAGTTATAAAAAATATATTTATTATAAAAATAATAATTTATATCTTAAATTTATATCTTAGCTATATTTAAGTTAATATAGCCTTTATATTTAGTAATACCCTTAAAATTAAAGATTTTTTAAATAGTTAGTTTATTAAATAGCTAGCCGCGGGCGTTTTCCTAGCACTTATAAAATAAGTTATTTATAAAGGTAAATTAAAAAAATAGCCCTTAGGTTTTTTTATTTTAGCTAGTTTATTTTTAAAAAAACTTAACCTTTATATATTATAAGTTATACTACGTAATAACCGCGGGGTTAGTAAGGTTAATTAGATTTATAAGGTATTTTATAGTAATTAGTTAATTAAAGTTAAATAAAATACTAAGAAAAAGTTTTAATAAATTAAGAATTAAATAAAAAACTAGGTTAAAATAGTTAATATTTTTTTTATTTTTTTTAATAGTTTTTATAGCACAAGTGTTACCCTTGCTTAATATTTTTAATTATTACCCTTATTTTAAAAAGCTAGTAGTAATAATAATTATTATAAAAAAATTTTTATATAATTAGGGTTAAGTTACTAGTTAAAAAAATTTTAAACTTTTTTATTTATATAATTAAAAATATAATTTTTTAATTAAATATATAGGCAAGGTAATAACCCTTATTATTATTAATTATAAAAAAAACTTTAGTTACCTTGCTACCCAAGCATAAAGTTTTTTAAAATAATAATTAAATAAATATTTCTTGCTAGTGTTAATAAAAAGGGTTTTTAAGTTAAATAATTATTAATTATTTTTATTAATATTTTTAGTATAGCTTTTAGGCCCCTTAAAAATTTTTTAAGCTTTAATTTTTTTTTTATTAAAAAGGTATAGGTAGTATTAAGTAGTTTATATTATTAATAAGCCTTATTATAAATATATTATTAAGTAACCTTAATAATTAAGTATAATAATTACCTTATTACTATATTTAATTAAATTTTATAATATTAAAAAAGCTTATTAATTAAATAATTAAAAATATATTATTAAATATAATAATACTAGTACTAAAAATTACCTGGCTAGTAAGGCTAGGTAATTAAAAAAAAATATATAAAAAAGAAATTAAATATAAAATTATTTAAAGGTTTTTTATTAAGGCCTTTAAGTGCTTTATATAACTTTTATTTAAGGTGGTAAGGCCTAAGCATTATTTCTTAAGGTTATTAATATCCCTAGGCCTTGGCATTGCCATGGCTGATAAAGTGGCCTAAGGCATTAACACTGTTAATGAAACCACAGTATTATTATATTTAGCCATGTTAATAATAAAAAAAATCCTATTAATAATTTTATTAAGCTGCTTAATATAATTAATTTTAATAAATTTTAAAAGGCTTTTAGGCTAGTTAGTAAAAATAGCAAGTATTAAAAAATTTAATATTTTATTTTTTATATATATTAATTTTAAAGTACAGCATGTAATATAATATAAAAATATTTTATATTTAAATTATTATATAAAGCTTATTTTTTTTATTTAAAAAATCTTACTAGCTTTATAGCCTTTTACCTAGGGGGCCATGTTAAAGGTAACTAGCCAGGAGTTAAAAAATAAGTTATTTAGGTTAGGTAACCCCGCGCCGCTGCCTACTATAGTTAGTGGCTGCGTTGTTCTTAGCTTCTTAGTACTCTCTCAATACTATCAGAGTTCTTTGCTCATCAAAAGTCAAGTCCTCCGTGAGGGACGTTGAAGTCTCTCCGAGCTGGCGAGGATGACGTGCGTAAGGGGGACAAGTTAGGGCTAGCTGGCCCTACCAAGCTCAAGACTGAATTGCGGAGTAATATACATATGCTCCGTAATGTGCACCGGCAAAGTTTCCAATAATCTAGTACCTATATAAATAATAATCCGAGGCCTAATGCCTTGAACTGTAAGCTCCCTCCTGCCAGCAGTAAATCTCGAGAGTTCGGTGCACAGCAGCACAATATCCGGGACGCCGAGTAGAATATATGGATATATATATCCTCTTCCTTGCTGCCAGCCCTCAGCATTTCAGACGGTCAAGGCAGACACGCTTGCTAAGATAGACCAACAGCTGGATCCAGCGCCTGCAACATGTCGCGCAAATCATTTGTTTTGCAAGAGAAGACTCGCGTCTCGAACCTCGATCGCGACCAGCAGCCAGCTGAGGTGGGGCAGAATCTGAGCAAAAGCAACTTCGACTCACGTCCACCTCTCCTGATCCTGATCTCCATCCATCTCCCTCTCCATCTCTCATCCCACCGCTCATCCACCCCTTACCTACAGAGTCCATGAACCGAACATGTCCAGCCCAACAAGCACAACCCTCCCCGTAAAATCCCACCCAGATGCCTTGCACCTCACCGCATCGGTGCACGCCTACCTGGACAGCACCTACCCCTTCTCATCCCAGCAAACCAAAAATGCCTTTGAAAGCCAGGACCTCCCGCGCTTCACGGCGCTCCTCTACCCCGAGAGCCAGATCGAGCGGCTCGAGAGCGCAGCGCTGTTCACGTCTTTGACGGCGATTCTCGACGGTCCGCCCCCTCCTGCTCATCGTGAAGACACATTGATTAACGCCGAGAACAGACGCATTCAGCCAGATGTCCATCGCCGACGCCCGGAAAATAGGGGCTAGATTACTGGCTATCATGCAGGGAGCCACGACGGCCGACGACGCGGTTCCTGTGGAGAGGATCCTGGGGAAGGTGATTGGGGATATGAACGTCCAGAGCCCGGAGCTTGCGGGGGATGTTTTGAACGGTGCTGTGACGCTGTTCCTCGCGCAGACGGATAAGAGGAGGCTCGAGGTTACGGGGTTGGATGAGTACTTTGAGTTTCGGTATGGGGATGTGGGTGGGGAGTATGCTACCATGCCCTTTCTATTTCGTGCATTATGGTGATTATAGGGTGCAAAGCTGATGGGATACCTAGTTTCTTCACGGCGCTCAGCCGCTTCGCGAACGATATCGTGCTCTCGGAGGATGAAAAGGTGAAGTTCAAGGGCCTCGAGAAACTCATGATCCGGCACGTGATTATCGCGAACGATATCCTCTCGTGGGAAAAGGAGCTTAAGGAGGCGGATGAGAGTAACGAGGAAGGCGGGGCTCTGTGCTCGGTTGTTCCGATCTTGGCCAGGAATCTGGGGATTGGGTTTGAGGGGGCGAAGAGGGTGCTTTGGGTGGCTGCTAGAGAGCTGGAAGGGGAGATGGAGCGGGTGGCAGGGGGGTTGGGGCCATTGTCTGAAGAAGGGGAGAGGTATGTCCAGGCTCTTAAGTACCTGGCTAGTGGGAATGAGGAGTGGTGTCGGACGACGAGTCGGTATCGGGTGGAGTAGGACATAGTTATATTATTGGTATGGTATCAAGATGCGGTCCATAATCGAAAGTGATCCGTAAGTTGTCTGCCGTCCGTTTACCGAATCAGAACACGCACACCCTTACTTCCCTCCTCCGCGAAGCCAAGGAAAAGATCATGGGCAAGAGTCGCGTCTTTGCGGGTCGTTTCGAACAGCTCCATGTTTACATTGCGGACGACGGCCGGGAGGCAAAGGAGGATCTCCGATTTGGCCAAACTGTTGTTGTTAGATAAATCATTATCCAATTTGGAAGCAGGGGAGCATACTTCATTCCGACGCACTGACGCGATCCCTTGGTAAAGGACACCATGTACTTCTCGAGGTACTTGCGCCTCTCGGGGTCCACCCATCGTTCGGGGATGAACTCCCGGGAGTCAGGGAAGATATCTTCGTTGTGGTGCATCAAGGCACTGGTCATGCCGACGGGGGTCTAATTCGTTAGTAGTTGTTTGTATACGGCTTCAGGGTGCTTACTCCGGCTGGGATCGACCAGTCGTTGAACTTGAGGTCGCGATCGGGAGCGATACGTTGTAGACGTGAGCTGGAGCCGTAGGAGAGTCTGATAACCGTTAGTTCCGTCTGCAGTTTTGTTGGTAGCGACGTACCTAAGTCCCTCGAGCATGACAGAAGTCAAGTAAGGCATCTTCTCGAAGTCCACAAGAGTCGCCGTCTGATCCGGATCCAACCGGTTCAGCTCCTCCTTGAGAGCGTCCATCTTCTCCGGGTTCTCGAGCAGATAGTACATCGTCCATGTTAACATCTTGCCGGTCGTTTCCGATCCAGCGCCAATCACTGCTTGAACCTCGCGCGCCAATCGATCAGGAGTCTTCAGGTGTTCAGGAAGGTTGCTGTTAAGAACGTCGTGGAAGAATGTCGGGTGGTCGAACTGGTCTTTAACCTGTTCATATCCCTTCTCCTTCTGCTCAGCCATGATCCTCTGGACGATCTTGTTGCATCGGTCCTGGAACTGAAAGACGAGACCCATGCCTGGGTAGACGCGGGAAAGCAGCCATTGCGGCATGGAGTTGAGCAGCGCGCCCGACCACGGGAACGCCTTGAGGAATACACCGTTCTTCACACTCCAGGCCAGGGTGTCGCTCCAGTTGGGGATAAAGTCCGGCGAGTCGAGGTAGTGGAATCCCACGCCCATGGAGTAGTCTGACACAACATCCGTCGCGAAGCAGGTGAACGGGTGTTGAAGATTGATCGGTGTTTGTGTGCCCTTGTATGCCTGCAGACGCTCGACAAGCTTGTTGACCAAAACCTGGACGAGCGGCTCCTGTTTGCGCGCGCGGGTGATCGAAAAGTACGGGTTCATGTTGGAGCGGATGACACGGTGGTGGTAATGGTCAACGGTCGCGATTGAGCTGCCGGGGACGGGGAACTGCTTCGTGAAGTACTCGTACTTGTTGCGCGGGCTATCGCGCGAGTAAAGCACCTCGTAGTACTCGGGGTCGTTGATGTGCAGTTCATGCGGGCTAATCCGGACAATGGGGCCTGCCCTGTCAGTTCGTTCTTTCTCTCAGTGATAGATGCCTACCATATTTCTCATGCATCTTCGCAATCTCAAATGTGTACTTTCCCCAGCGGAACGCATCGTGATAAGTTTCATACCATAGCGTCGCGGCCGCCAGCTTCGGCCCTGGGAATTTGGCCAGCGGCGACAGGTATAGCCGGTAGATTACCAGGCCGACCACATAAGCGACCCAGGCGACGAGAATATAAGGCACGAGGTGAAGCATCTTGGAATGCGACGGCTTCAGCAATCCTCCCTTTTTTGCCGGGGCGTCCGGATGAAATAGATTTCGAAAGTCCCCTTCTCCAACTGTGCGCACTTTAGTGCCCCATCTTTAATATGCTGCCCGCTATTTAGCACCTGCCTAGCGGCTCTAGCTGCATGGCAGCGGCACCTCTGGGGCAGCATGCCTGGCTTGGTCCACCGCCATTCGTTCGAGACAATGCTAGTTTGTCTTGGTGAAACGGCCAGTTCTCTAGTGACCGAACGCTGAATATAGAGCTGTGCTCATTCGCCAGTTCTTGGTGGCACGAGGGGTTGCCTGACGAACGGCCGATTCCTTCGCGGCAGGGGTGGTTCACAGTTAAATAACTGAAGGGTTCTTGCCCGCTTGCTCGGGACCGTGCATGGTATATCTAACTCGTGCTTCGATTGACCTGATCATGGCCCATCTGTCGGAAGACCATCGTCCCATCGTTCCCGAGGCAAGTCTCCAGGCACAAAATACAGGCACCCAGCTCACCGTTCGGCACCCAGGTAGATGAAGACCTTTATGACGATGCTGTCGAGTGGGTCACTCGATGCTACTACTGTAAGCGAGACTGACTCAAATACCTACGGAGTATCAGGTCCGTCGAAGGCTCCACTGAATCGCTGGCCTCCAGCATCCTGAACTACCAGTATGGCCCACCCATTCATGTCGATGTGACCAGCAAAGCCGCTGACACCTCTCAGATACGAGGTCTGGTATCCGACTTATCGAGTGACAGGTACTGATGGGGGTAGAATGGACGACGATACCACGCGTATCGACGAGGAGAGTATTTGTTTGTATGGAAGCCGGCTCCAGACGTCAATCCTGGCTAACGGCTTCCAGCCTAATGATGAGCGGGAACAAGAACGACTCGACCTCGTAAGACGGACATCACGCCCCTTGATCAATGTTGACGGTTGTATAGCACTCTCATATTTGCAATCTCACGCTTGGGGGAGAACTATACCGAGCGCCCATCAAGCCAGACATACAGCAGATTCTTGATCTAGGGACGGGGACTGGAGCGTGGGCTCTCGATATGGCAGAGTATGGCACCACCATTTTTGGCTTCCTTGGCTAACTCAGAATGACAGCCTCTTTCCCAGCGCCACTGTTACTGGTATTCTATCCCTTTCGACCGTATGATGTGCTATTGATCGTGATTGCAGGAACGGACCTGAGCCCGATTCAACCCACATGGTAAGTTCAACTCGCCCTCAGAATAACCTGCTGAGACGCCTCCAGGGTGGCTCCCAATTGTCGCTTTGAGATTGACGACTTCGAGCTCGACTGGAACTTCTCACACCCATTTGACTATATCCATATGCGAGGCATCGAGGGGTCCGTCAGAGATTTCCCCAGGCTATTCAAGCAGGCCCACGATAACCTGAGCCCTGGCGGATGGTTCGAGATCTGCGACTTCACAGTAGGTATCTTCTCCGACGACGATTCAGCCGAAAAAGCGACAAATCTGCAGCAATGGCGAGATCTCTTGGTCGAAGCAAGCCAGAAATTCGGGAAGGAGTTCAGCGTGGCCCAGAACTATCAACAGTGGATGATCGACGCGGGTTTCGATGATGTGCGAGAGGAGATATACAAAGTGCCTTTTTCTCCGTGGGCTAGGGACCCCAAGCTCAAAAGCCTGGGCAGGTTTCACCAGGCCAACATGCTAGAAGCTCTGGATGCATACTCGCTGGCTCTGATGACCCGGTTCCTGGGGTGGACCGTGGACGAGGTCGAGGTGCTTCTGAAGGCCGTGCGCAAGGAGCTGTTGGATCGGAAGCTGCATATCTACTCCCGGTTGTATGTAGTTTACGGACGAAGGGAATAACCCGGCGTCCGTATATAAGATGGCAATGGTTGATGCTGATGCTGTGCTACCATCCTGTACCACGGAAGGTCCGACCTCGGATATGACGCAATCCGGATGACGAGAGGTCGGAGAGGACGAGATTGCCGGCGCTGGACATCAGGATGTAGACATTGGGTAATGGAATCTCTTTGCGAGAGCTAGTAGAACGAAGAAACTGCCAAAGAAGGACTTAGACGTATAGTCTGTGCTAGTGAACGCACGAAGTGGGTGCTGTGGCAGATGAGAAGAGCAAAGACGGGGAGCAAGGCAGAAAAGTCCCGCCACTTCTTTGGCTACGGCACCGTCCGCTCAAGATTTCTCCAACTCCCTTCCAATCTTTTATCCCTCGCTCTCTCTCGCCCATGCATCCTTTTCACTCTCTCTACGACAGCCCTTCTGCTCTCCAATACCTAGTTCTGCCGGTTACGCTCTCTGTCGCGTTTTGAGCTGTCTTCTGATCGCGCATCATCGCGAGGCTCCGCGACGCAAACACCATGGGCCTCTCCAAAACCAACAGGATTCTGATCCTGTTGGTGATTGATTCGGCCTTCTTCCTGCTGGAATTGATCGCTGGTTCGTCTCCTCAGTCTCCGATATTCTTCTTCTGCTCACTCCCTTTGCTAGGTTACTCCGTCCACTCCCTTGCCCTCGTCGCGGATTCGTTTCACATGGTACGACCTGTCAACATCTGGACTCTACAGCATCTGACATGTTTAGCTGAATGATGTGATCTCTCTACTCGTTGGATTATGGGCCGTCAAAGTTGCCAACCGCGGAACGTCCTCTAAAATGTACACCTACGGAGTGAGTGTCATCCTTCTTGCCCCGCCCTTGTTGCAATCCCGCCTGACTCCCGGAATAGTGGCAACGAGCCGAAACCCTCGGTGCTCTCGTCAACGGTGTCTTCCTCGTCGCTCTGTGTCTATCCATCTTCCTCGAAGCAATACAAAGATTGGTCGAGCCGCAGGAGGTCAAGAACCCGAAGCTCGTCTGCGGCGTGGGATGCGCCGGGTTGGTGTCGAACATCCTGGGATTGGTCTTATTCCACGATCATTCGCACGGCCACGGTCATAGTCATGGACACTCTCATGGCGACGAGGAGGACGTTGATGCTGCGGAGCAAGGCCATAGCCACGATCATGGCCACTCCCACGCGGAGCGCGGAGCTGTAGGTTCACCCCCGACCTCCTCTTTGCGCACCTACTGACATCGATCACAGAGCCAAATTACCGAACCAACCGCCGCGTACTCCCGCCGTCGAACCCTTGACAGCCAACACCGCAGCTCTCGCCGTGGCTTCGGAGATATTGGTGGCCACCCCGCTAGCATGAGACAGGATATTATTATCGCAGCCAACCGAAACCAGTTCCCGGATGATGACGAGAGCTTCGATTCAGACGATCGCGCCGAGGACAGCGGAGACAACTTCGGGCCCACTGAACGTTCGACGCTGCTGGGTCACAAGGATCGAGCGGCCAACTATACTGCAGAGCACGCTCACGTCAGAGATCTGGCAAAGAACGACCCGCACAAGTCTCACAATCACGCCCAACCTAAGCCAAAGGACAAAAATCACGGACATGATCTCAACATGCGGGGCGTTTTTTTACACGTTATGGGCGACGCCTTGGGCAACATTGGTGTCATTGCCTCTGCTCTCGTCATCTGGCTGACCGATTATTCTTGGAGATTCTACGTCGACCCTGGTATTTCCCTTGTCATCACTGTCATCATCCTAGCGTCGGCAATTCCTCTCTGCAAAGCGGCTTCTCGCATTCTGTTGCAGGCTGTGCCGCACGGTTTGAGCATTGACCACATCAAGGAAGATATCGAAAGCCTTCCTGGGGTCATTGGCGCCCACCATCTCCATGTCTGGCAGCTAAGCGACACCAAGACCGTTGCTTCAGTCCATATCCAAGTCGACACCGAAATCAAGGGCGAGGGCTCCGAGCGTTACATGGATCTCGCCAAACAAGTGAGCCAATGCCTGCACGCGTATGGTATTCGATCATCGACCATCCAACCGGAGTTCCCTCGTGACAGTGATACGGAGGACAACCAGCCAGGCTCGGCCCACTCGCACTCAGCAATCCCCAGCCGTACTCCAAGTGTCCGCGATGCGGATCCCCAGGCCTGCCTCATGGAGTGTGGCGTTGAGTGCGGGGGCGGTCACTGTTGCCCGACCAAGCCCACCTAATTGCATACATCTATTATCTTTTGTCATATTTATATGCTTGTTTTATTACTAGCTGTTCCCAAAAGTGCATGTCGCATTGCTTATACCCCATCCTCTGGCTTGAGTCTTGTGTTGAGACTCGAATTCGTCCACTTGCATCATATGACTTGTCTTATTAGATAGTGACTTGAACCTAATGAACGCGTGATACATACTGGAAATTCTTTCACTGTCATCTGGTTGCTAGCTCTTGCGCACCTCTTTGATGCAACTATATATATTTGTACATGGCAAGTTTGGCCGGTAAAGGCTGGATAAGTGATGTTAGTCAAGTGGTATTTAGTTCATTATTGGGCTCTCGCGAAGCTAGTTTGCTAACCAGGTTCTTGGATGTGATTTAAAACCTTTGAAAAATATATAGTCAACAATCGAGCTGGTACGTAGGTCCCGTCATTTTTGGGGCGCAGGCTTTAATGCCGGGAGTAATGCGCGTGGCTGTTATCACCGTTATGGTGTTGCAACTGCGCAGTGTTGCAATGACGCAATCCGGCGGCCTAAGGCCGCCGGGCGGAGGAACGTTAGCGCCGAACTAGCCGCGCGCTAAGGCGGCAGCCAGTTATATAATATATAAAATACTAAGTTTAATTTTAAACTTTAACTTAAAAAATTAGTAATTAATTTTTATTATAAATACATAATACCTTTTTTATTATAATAATTTATGTTTTTTTAAGCTTACCATAATATATAAACATAATTTATAATTTTAATTACTTTTTTTTTAAAAAAAAAACCTATTTTATATAATAGCTAGGTAATAAACTTAATTCTAGGGGCTAGTAAATAATACTTTAAAAAAGTAATTATAAACCCTAATTTAATAATTAACTAACATGCCTAAAAAAAAATTTATAAACTTTTAATTAAAAAATCCCAAGGGCGCCCTTGCTATTAAATTTTAAATTATATAAAAAATATTAAAATATAAAAGGCCCGCCCAGGGGTAAAAAAATAAAAATAGTAAAAAAATTACTAAGAAATTATAGGTAATATTAAAAGTAATTTTAATAAAAAAAAAGAAATTACAGGAACAGGAACACCATAAAAAAAAAAAAAAATATTAATAAATTTATACTTAAATTAAAAAAGCACGTTAATAAATTACAAGGGCTAAAGCTAACTAGTAAATATATAATATATTTATTTAATTTATTAAGTAACTAATAGTCCCGCGCTAAATAGACTTTAATAACCTTATAATTTTAAAAAAAACTATTAAAGGGGTTATAGTAATTATAATATAACTTAAAAAAAACTTTCTAAGAAAATTACTATTTATAAAATTATACTAGGCAAATAATGTTAAAAAATTTAATAATTAAAAGTTAAATATAAAAACATACTTTAAAACCTTCTTAACCTACTACCTAAATAATAACTATAAAATATTTTAATTTATTAAATTTTTAGCGGAGGACCGCAGGCAGGAATAATTTAATATTTATAAAATAAAAACTATATTTACTTAAAAAAAATTTTTTAACACGCTAGTTAAAATAATTAATAATAAGATAGTACTGGTTAATAACTTACTAATTAAGTAGGGTAATATAAAGCAGTAACCATGGTAAATTATTAGGTAATTTATATAATTATTAAATTAAATTAAGAAACACCTACCCTATAAGTATAAAAATAATTAGTATTAAAAATACCTGTACTAAAAGATCCTGGAGAATATATAAAAAAAGTTTTTTATTTATAAATACTAAGAGCTAAAATACTATAATAATTATATATTATACTTAACAAGTGTTAAGAATAACATGCCCAAGTAAAAAAAAATAATTATAAAAAAAAAAGGAAGTTTTTTAACCAAACTTGCATAAGGTTATTAATAACTAAAGTTAGGGCACTTTTTATTACTAAAAAAAGTGTAAAAGTAAATACTAGTATAAAATAACCTAATAATTTAAATAATTTCTTATTTATAAAAAAGCCATACCCAGGTAAATGCCTAAACTACAGCCATGCTAAATATTTTAAGTAATATTATTAATTACCGGGCGGAGGTTAAAAAAAAAAGCGCTTTTATAATAATAACTTTTAAGTAAATTTAATAATATAAAAAATATAAAACCTTAAAGCTTTGCGTGGTGCAAGCTTTAAGGGTTTATATAAAATAAAAAAATGCGCCGCGGGCCTGGGTAATTTAGGTAAAAATAAAAAAAAAAAATAAAAAATAATAATATATAAGGGTTTTTATTAACTTTAAAGTAAAAGTAAATTTTATAAACTAGTGCTAGGCAAAGTCTTACCTAATATAAAGTAAAAAATTAACTTATAAAGTATATATAGTTAATAGTTATATAGTAATATTTTATAGGAAATATATACTTATAATTTATACTAGAAATTCTGCGCGTAATATATGGCATTATTAGTAAAACTTTAAAGCTATTAATATTAATAATTATAATATAATTTTAGGATTTTTGTGGCTGCTAGCCGCGATGCCTATTTTAAATTAATAAACTAGTAATTAAATATATAATTAAAAAGTAAAGTATAATTTTAAATATTTATAATATATAATAATAATATAAAAATACGCCGCAGAAATTACTACAAAAGTTAAAGTACTTTTAGTATAAATTTTTAAGTAAGAAAACTATGTTATAATACACCTTAATAGGGCAAAGGTTAAAAAAATCCCGCTACCTAAATAATATTATAAATATATAAATATATTTTTTAAAGTAAAAATAAATATTTTTATATTTTATTAATTTTATAATTATATAATTAAGCTATAACCTAGTACTAAGCCTTTAAGCAAGTATATTTACTTATTATTTTTAAAAAAGCTTAAGGTTTTACGCGAATATATTAAAAAAGTACTTAAAAAAAGTTAAATACACTTATTTAAAAGCCTTGTAAAAGCTTTAATATTATTTATATTAAAAAAAATAATAGCCTATATTTTTGTGTAAATTATTAAGGCCTAAATACTATTATAATTAAAAATATATACCTACTACCACTACTTAACGCGACCCTTAATTATTTAAAAATAGGAAAAATTTTTATATAGCTAGATTTACAAGACACGTACTATAAACTTTAAATTTATAAGAAAAATAAGTAAAAAATAGTATTTAAAATATAATTTAAACTTTATAAATACTAAGTTATACTATTTAAACTAGTAAATACACTAGTAATATTTTAATTTTATATAAACCACGCCCTAGCTAGGCTAATTAATATAATTTATATTACTTATTTAAATAATATTATTATTTTCTTAGAGAATAAGGAGAAACATAAATAATATATATAAATAGTTTTTAAAAGACTACGTGATTTTAAGCTATATATAAAAGTTAGTAAATACTTATTCCATATTAAAAAAATTAACTTCTTAGGCTTTATTATAACTACTAATAAAATTAAAATAAAACTAAAAAAAGTCTAGACTATTGCAAAGTAGCTAATACCAAAAAATATAAAAAAAATAGTATTTTTTTTAAGATTTTATAGCTTTTATTAAAAATTTATTAAAAACTATAGCTAAGTCGCGGCAGCGCTATTTAACCTTATAAAACTTAATATAGCTATAAAATACCCACTAAAAAAAAAGGCCTTAAAGGCATTTAATATATTATGCCTTAAATTTATAAAATAACTATTATTATAATACTTTAACCCTAAATTACGCATGTAGTTATAAACTAATATCTTAGGGTATACTATTATTAAAGTATTATTTTAATTAATAAAAAATATATAGTGGTATTTAATTACCTTTTAATTTTATAAATTAAAAAACGCGGAAATCTGGTATAAAACCCATAATTTTAAAATACTTATAATTATAAAATATTTTTAAGTCTAGAAATACTATCTTAAGGGCAGTAAATTCTTTATTAAGGTACTTATAAATTATAATAATTTATAATAATTTATAATAACTAAGGACCTAACGCGAAAACAAGCATAATAAGCTAAAAAACTTATAATTTTTAACTTTATTATTAAACACTGCCCGGGGGCAAAAAACCTAGTAAATACTTTAAGTAAAAAAGCAGACTATATTTTTAAAAAAGGGGAAAAAAAAGCCACAGGCGGGATAATTTTTTATAAATTATAAAAGTAATTAAATAACTAACTATTATTACACCTAAAGTTTAAGTTATAACTTAATATATAAGCTATTATAATAAATAAAAACTTATATATAAATAAATTATAATTAAGTATTATAAAACTACTCCAGGTGGCCTAAGAATATAATAAAAAATTTAAAAAAATAAAAAATAACCTTATAAATCTAGATTATAAAAAAAACCTTAAGTATTAAAAAGTAATAAATAATAGCTTATTATGCTTTAAAAACTAAGTTTACATGCTAAAATTAGTGGTACTTTATAAAAAAATTATAAAGGTAAACCATAACAAGCCCTAAGGTAGGTATTAAAATATTAATATAACTATTATAAATATTTTTTAAAGGTACTATTAGCTAAATATAATTAAATATATTAAAAAACATGTTAAAAAATATAATAGTTACTAAAAAATCATGGTTTATAAGTATAAACTATATAAATTATTAAAACTGCTAAGCCCACTAAGGGCACTTATAAAATAAATTAATATAGACTTTATTACTAGTTTACTACCTGTAAAATATAATAAGCATATATATAACGCCGTTTTAGTAGTGGTTAAAATATATACTAAATTTATATAGTATATTTTATACTTAAAAAATATTAATATAAAATAACTTATAAATACCCTTATAAATAATATTTTTTATTTTATTAGCATACTAAAAAATATGGTTAGTAACCGCGAAAGTTTTTTTATTAATATATTTTAAGCTATACTAAGCCACTACCTGGGTATAAAATAAAAATTATTTACTATATATTACCCGTAAATAAATAGCTAAATTAAAAGGTAAAACCAAGTCCTTAAACACTACCTCCGCGCTTATATTAACTAGTATTAAA